GGGTGCCATTCTTTGGTTTCTAAATTTAGTCCCACTTAAATGGGGGAAATGGGGGTTCCCCATTTCTGGCAAATTTTTTAGGGCACTATATAGGGAATAGGGTCCCAATTCTTGGTCTAAAGTATTTGAAATATATAGGGAATGGGTCCCCATTCTCGGGTCTAATTTTAGTGCCTTATGGGGAAATTTTAGGGTCCCAAATTTTTGGGTTTTAAAATTGTGCAATATGGGAAAAAGGGTCCCTTCTCTGGTCAAAATGTAGTGCACTTTTATAAAAAAAAAAAAAAAAAAAGGGTGCCATTCTCTGGTTTTAAAGTAGTGAAATATTTTGGGAAATGGGGGTTGCCTTGGTCTAAAGTATTACATATATAGGAAAATGGGGTTGCCATTCTCGGGTTTAAAGTAGTGCACTTATGGGGAATGGGGTTTTTTGCCTTCTCGGGTCTAATGTAGTGCCCCTTATGGGGAATGGGGCCATTCTCGGTTAAAGTAGTGCACATATGGGGAAATTTGGGGTTTGCCTTTTCTCGGGTTTCAAATTTGTAGTCACTAATAGGGAATGGGGGGAAATCTTGGTCTAAAGTAGTGACTAATGGGGAAAATGGGGTTTCCCATTCTCTGGTCTAATTGTGACTATATAGGGAATGGGTTTGCCATTCTCGGGGTTTTAAAGTATGCACTTTTATGGGAATAGGGGTTTTTCCCTTGGTCTAAGGGAGGGCACTATATAGGGGAAAGGGTGCCATTCTTGGTTAATGTAGTGGCACTATATGGGGAATAGGGGGGGCCATTCCGGGGTAAAGTAGTGCCCCTTATTTAGGGAATGGGGTGCCACCGGGTCAAAGTAGTGCACTATATAGGGAATAGGGGGGCCATTTTGGGTCTATGTAGTGAAATATATAGGGAATGGGGGTTCCCCTTCTCGGGTAAATTAGTGCCCATATAGGGAATAGGGTGCCTTTTCTCTGGTTAAAGTAGTGCACTTTAGGGAATGGGGTGCCTTTCTCGGGTCAAATGTAGAAAAACCCTTATGGAAATAGGGTGCCTTTTCTCTGGGAAAAGTAGTCCCACTTATAGGGAATAGGGTCCCCCACCCTCTTGGTCAAAAGGGAGTGCACTTTTTAGGGAAAAAGGGGGGCCTTTTCTTGGTCTAAAGTAGGCACATTTTGGGGAATGGGGGTTGCCATCTTCCGGGTTTAAAGAGTGCCTACAAGGGAATAGGGTGCCTTTCTCTGGTTTTAAAAGTGGCACACATGGGGAAATAGGGTTTGCCTTTTCTCTGGTTCAAAAGGGAGGGGCAATATCTGGGGAAATGGGGTTTGCCATACTCGGGTTAAAGTAGGCCCCTATATAGAGTAATAGGGGGCCATTCTCTGGTCAAAAGGGTATTTGAAATTATTGGGGGAAATGGGGTTTTGGCCTTTTTGGTCAAAAGGGAGGGCATATATGGGGGAAAAGGGGGGGCCCTTATCGGGTTTCCAAAAGGAGTGCACTATATAGAGTTGGGTGCCATTCTTGGTCTAAAGTAGTCCCACAAATAGGGAATAGGGTGATTCTTGGTTAAAGTAGTAAATAATGGGGAATGGGGGGTCCCATTCTCGGTCAAAAGTAGGGCAAATTAGGGAATAGGGTGCCATTTCGGGTTAAAAAAGTGTCCCATATATGGGGAAAATGGGGGTTGCCTTTCTAGGTCTAAAGTGGGTGCCCCCTATATGGGGAAATTGGGGTGCCATTCTTGGTTTTAAAGTAGTCCCTATATAGGGAATAGGGTGCCATTTTTTTTGGTTTTTTTAAAGAGTGAAACTAAAGAGATGGGGTTAAAAATTCTCTGGTTAAAGTGGGTTGATATATGGGGAAAATGGGGGGGGCCATTTTCGGGGAGCTAAAGTAGTCCCACTAATGGGGAAAATGGGGGGTGCCATTTCTGGTAAAAGTGTCCCACTATATGGGAAATGGGGTTTGAAAATTCTCTGGTCAAAAATTTAGTCCCACTATATAGGGAATGGGTGCCATGCTCTGGTCTAAAGAAGGTGAATATTAGGGAATGGGGTTTGCCATTCTCTGGTTAAAGTATGACTTTTAAGGGAAAAGGGTGCCTTTCTCGGTTTTAAATTTAGTTGCACTAAAAGGGAAATGGGGTTGCCATTCTCTGGTCTAAAGTTTTCCCAATTTTGGGGGGAATGGGTTTGGAATTCTTTTTGGTTTTAAAGTAGTGCAATATAGGGAATGGGTCCCATTCTCTGGTCAAAAGTAGTGCACTAAAAGGGGAAATGGGTCCCAATTCTCGGGAAAAAAAAGGGAAGTGAACTATATGGGGAAATGGGGGGGCCTTTTTCTTGGTCAAAAGGTAGGCACTATTTTAGGGAATGGGGGTCCCATTTCTGGCAAAAGGAGTGCAATAAAAGGGAATGGGGTTTGAAATTCTAGGTCTAAAGTAGTGCACTAAAAGGGGGGAAAGGGTGCCTTTCTTGGTCTAAAGTAGTCCCAATAATGGGGGAATAGGGTCCCAATTCTCTGGTCAAAAGTAGTCACAATGGGGAATGGGGTGCCATTCTTTTGGTTTTAAAGTAGTGCACAAATATGGGGAAAATGGGGTGCCATTCCCCTGGTCTAAGTAGTGCATTTAATGGGGGAATAGGGTGCCATTCTCTGGTCTAAAGTAGTGCACTACATAGGGAATAGGGTGCCATTTCAGACGAATCCACTGAGATTACACAGACATGTTATTTTGCAGCCAGTCCCTCCCACCCAAAACACCCAAAGAACAACATTGAAGAAAGGTTCTGAGAAGGATTCTAGAAGGATTCCAGAATGTTACTGTAACATCTGATTGTCAACAAGAGGGCGGGGCTACCTCAGTACGTTCAGCAGGACGCAACGTCTTTTTTAAACGTTCAGACAAAAATATAAAAGCAACACGCAACAATTTCAAAGACTTTGAAGGGTTACACTTCATATAAGGAAATGAGTCAGCAGGTAGCTTAGTGGGTAAGAGCGTTGTGCCAGTAACCGAAAGGTCGCTGGTTCTAATCCCCGAGCCGACTAGGTGAAAAATCTGTCGATGTGCCCTTAAGCAAGGCACTTAACCCTAATTGCTCCTGTAAGTCGCTCTGGATAAGAGCGTCTGCTAAATGACGTAAATGTAAAAATGTAAAATGAGTCAATTTAAATAAATTCATTAGGCCCTAATCTATGAATTTGCCATGACTGGGCAGGGGCGCAGCCATGGGTGGGCCTGGGCCCACCCAATTGGGAGCCAGGCCCAGCCAATCAGAATGAGTTTTTCCCCACAAAAGGCCTTTATTACAGACAGAAATACTCCTCAGCTTCATCAGCTGTCCGGGTGGCTGGTCTCAGATGATCCCGCAGGCGAATAAGCTGATTGTGAGGCCCGCTGGTAATGATCATGCTGTTTAATCAGCTTCTTGATATGCCATACCTGTCAGGTGGATGGATTATCTTGGCAAAGGAGAAATACTCTTAACAGGGATGTAAACAAATTTGTGCTACAACATTTGAGAGAAATAAACATTTTGTGCGTATGGAACATTTATGGAATATTTTTTACTTCAGCTCATGAAACATGGGACCAGCACTTTACATGTTGCGTTTATATTTTAGTTCAGTGTAGAACAACATGCCTCTGACATGTAGAATAAAGAAACACTATTCATTTATTTCTGCAACGTTCCAAAATGTTCTCGTACTGAACATGTCCCTGGTTTTAAAATGGCAGTTATCGGCATTCCCATGGCAACACAACCACAACCAACTCTGATTGGCCAGTCAAAGACACAACCAACTCTGATTGGCCCGTTAAGCCAGACAGAGGTACTGTAGTAAAAAAACGAACAGGAAATAAAACAATGCAATACTGTGAGGTCATCGTCCAGATATAGACACAGAAAGACTGACAGACAGGAGGCTAAAGGAATATTACAGGAAATACTTATTGGAGAATTTACACAGGCAGACGGAAGGAGAGAATACTGTAGTTATACTTTAAAATACTGCAGTGTTGTTGTAGTAATACTATGTAGTTGTGTGATCATATCCACGGTTACTGTAGTAGAGACTGCATCATTCCAGATACAGTAGAGATGACGCAGAGCAGTTCACTGACTACATCTCCCAGAGGTCTTTGAGGCTTTTTCAAAATAAAAGTCCCTGTAATAGCTGCACTAGTTGTTGTTGTGTTTAATCCAGTAGTTTTGAAGGAGAGTGAACCGAGCGTCATGTAAGCTACAACAGTACTGTGGGTCTCTGTGTGAAGGTCCCGTTTCAACATGTTGCTTTAGAAATCTGGTTTCTAGATCCACAAGGTTCCGTTTCAAACTGTTGCTTTAGAGATCTGGTTTATAGATCCACAAGGTCCCGTTTCAACATGTTGCTTTAGAAATCTGGTTTCTAGATCCACAAGGTTCCGTTTCAAACTGTTGCTTTAGAGATCTGGTTTATAGATCCACAAGGTCCCGTTGATTCCATATCGGTCAGTTTGTGATCAGAACTCTTATTGTGAAACACTTCTTCCAGATCCATACCTGGGCTCCAGGTAACAGCTCCATGAACACACAGAATACCCCACCAGGTAACAGTAACCAACCCAACCCAACCCAACCAGACAGGTAAGTTAATATCTCAGGGAGGTGCAGCCATACATCTTCCTCCAAACTGTAGATCCAGCCCCGTAAGCCATACAGGACAGGGGACCATATACCATCTCCAGGTGAGTCTATTCTCCATGTAGGTAAGAGCTGAGCCACTACATGTAATCCCATCCCAGGTGGGTTTATCCAGGTAGGTCCTTCCCAGATGGGTCCATCCCAGGTAGGTCCACACACGTAGCCATAGTCCAAGTAGATCTTAGCCTACGGGTACGTCTCTGTCCTCTGTCCCAGGTTAGATTTGTCCCAGGACCAGGCTAACCCGGACACACCCTTGTACAGTCATGGTTCTGGCACCGGTGTGGCCCCAGTTATGCCCTGGTTCTGTCCGTGGTCTCAGGACTTGTTGTCCCCAGTAGGGGTTGGTTGTTCCAGTGACAGTCCTTCATCCGACAGCCCCGTTTCCACGGCGATCACCAGGGACGCCACGGACGCTCTGCTGGTCATGGGCTGGAGCTCACCTAGAGAGAGAGAGAGGGGGAGACAGAGGAGGGAGGGAGGGAGAGAGATAGGGGGAGACAGAGGAGGGAGGGAGGGAGAGAAAGATGGATGGATGACAGAGGAACAGAGAGAGAGAGATGAGGATGCAATTCATCCAAGCTGTCACCAGGTGGCACTATAAGTGCTGTGTGTGTAATATTGTCATCAGAACCTATGGCTGTGGCGGTCAATACATTTTGTCAGCCGGTTATTCACATGCAAAAGACAGCCGATCTCACGGTAACTGACCGTTAATCCGTTAATGAAGATAAACTCCTTTATACTCCACGCATACACGCTGCTGATGCGCGCCTTCGGAACATCTACATTTAAAAACCTTAAAATAAAAATAAAAAGTCTAATAAATCATTTTAATATACAGCACAATAAACCCATTATTTATTTTATTTATTTATTTAGTCTAAAGAAACATTATGATATGAAGAAAATGTATTTCAGAAGAACAGAATATGAGTTGGCCTACTGTATGTTATCTGGCTATGCTCCATGCCATAGGCTGTAGGCTTGTTTATTTAGCAGATAAGATATGCTTTTAAGTCCCATGCCATTATTTTATAATATAATATGCCATTTAGCAGACGCTTTTATCCAAAGTGACTTATGCGTGCATACATTTTTACGAATGGGTGGTCCCGGGGATCGAACCCACTACCCTGGCGTTACAAGCGCCATGCTCTACCAATTGAGCTACAGAGGACCACAATCATTTATTTTATAACTGAATAAAATCGAAAGGATATTTTTCCCATTCCAGAGCGAGTGCTCATATGAAGCGGCTATGTTGAGGGTAAAAGTGATCATTTGAAACAGGTCCTATAAACTAGATTTAGAGTTATTTGGCAACTTTAGTTGTGAATGAGACAAACCTTAGAATGTCTTAGAAATCTAAACATATACATTTAAATTTTAGTCAATTAGCAGACGCTCTTATCCAGAGCGACTCATTAGGAGTGATAATATTATTTTTACACTGGATCGAACCCACAACCCTGGCGTTGCAAAGGCCATGCTCTACCAACTGAGCTACATCCTGCCGGCCTTCTCCTGACCCTGGACAACGCTGAGCAGTTGTGACGCTCCATGGTGCTCCGGGTCGCGGACGGCTTAAGACAATCCTGGATTCGAACCAGGTTTATAGTGGACACAGCTAGCACTATATGCTGATGGTGGACATAGGCTGTATGTGTGACTATAGGCGTATGATGTGACTATAGCGCGTAATGGCTGGATGGGACTATAGGCTGTATGGTGTGACTATAGGCTGTATGATGTGACTATAGGCTGTATGAGGTGACTATAGGCTGTATGATGTGACTATAGGCTGTATGGTGTGACTATAGGCTGTATGGTGTGACTATAGGCTGTATGGTGTGACTATAGGCTGTATGATGTGACTATAGGCTGTATGATTGTGGACTATATGAGCTGTATATGTGAACTATGGCTTTATGAGTGACTAGGCTTTGATGTACTATAGGCTGGATGTGTGTGCTATAGGCTGTTCATGATGGTGACTATATGCTGTATGGTGGTGGACTATAGGCTGTCTGATGTGGGGGGGGACTATAGGCTGTATGGTGTGCCTATAGGCCCTGTATGAGGTGTGACTATAGGCTGTTATGATGTGACTATAGGCTGTATGACGGTTGGACTATCGGCTGTATGGTGTGAACATAGGCCTGATGGTGTGACTATAGGCCTGTATGGTTGTGGACTATAGGCTGTATGAGTGTGACTATAGGCTGTATGGTGTGACTATAGGCTGTATGGTGTGACTACTAGGCTGTATGGTGTGACTATAGGCTGTATGGTGTGACTATAGGCTGTATGGTGTGACTATGGCTGTATGATGTGACTATAGGCTGTATGGTGGTGACAAGGCATAGCTTGTAGATGTGACTATAGGCTGTCATGATGTGACTATAGGCTGTATGGTGTGGACTATAGGCGTGCATGATGTGACTATAGGCTGTATGATGGAAGCTATAGGGATGGTGGACTATAGGCTGTATGGTGTGGACTATAGGCTGATGGTGTGACTATAGGCTGTATGGTGTGACTATAGGCTGTATGGTGTGACTCTAGGCTGTATGATGTGACTATAGGCTGTATGATGTGACTATAGGCTGTATGGTGTGACTATAGGCTGCATGATGTGACTATAGGCTGTATGGTGTGACTATAGGCTGTATGATGTGACTATAGGCTGTATGATGTGACTATAGGCTGTATGGTGTGACTATAGGCTGTATGGTGTGACTATAGGCTGTATGGTGTGACTATAGGCTGTATGGTGTGGACTATAGGCTGTATGATGTGACTATAGGCTGTATGATGTGACTAAGGCTGTATGGTGTGACTATAGGCTGTATGATGTGACTATAGGCTGTATGGTGTGACTATAGGCTGTATGATGTGACTATAGGCTGTATGGTGTGACTATAGGCTGTATGATGTGACTATAGGCTGTATGGTGTGATTATAGGCTGTATGATGTTACTATAGGCTGTATGATGTGACTATAGGCTGTATGATGTGACTATAGGCTGTGTGGTGTGATTATAGGCTGTATGGTGTGACTATAGGCTGCATGGTGTGACTATAGGCTGTATGATGTGACTATAGGCTGTATGGTGTGACTATAGGCTGTATGATGTGATTATAGGCTGTATGATGTGACTATAGGCTGCATGGTGTGACTATAGGCTGTATGATGTGACTATAGGCTGTATGGTGTGACTATAGGCTGTATAGTGTGACTATAGGCTGTATAGTGTGACTATAGGCTGTATGGTGTGACTATAGGCTGCATGGTGTGACTATAGGCTGTATGGTGTGACTATAGGCTGTATGGTGTGACTATAGGCTGTATGGTGTGACTATAGGCTGTATGGTGTGACTATAGGCTGTATGGTGTGACTATAGGCTGTATGGTGTGACTATAGGCTGTATGATGTGACTATAGGCTGTATGGTGTGACTATAGGCTGTATGGTGTGACTATAGGCTGTATGGTGTGACTATAGGCTGTATGATGTGACTATAGGCTGTATGGTGTGACTATAGGCTGTATGGTGTGACTATAGGCTGTATGATGTGACTATAGGCTGTATGTGTGACTATAGCTGTATGGTGTGACTATAGGCTGTATGGTGGGACTATAGGCTGTATGGGTGTGACTATAGGCTGTATGGTGTGACTATAGGCTGGTGGTGTGACTATAGGCTGTATGGTGTGACTATAGGCTGTATGGTGTGGACTATAGGCTGTATGTGTGACTATAGGCTGTATGATGTGACTATAGGCTGTATGATGTGACTATAGGCTGTATGGTGTGACTATAGGCTGTATGGTGTGACTATAGGCTGTATGAGGTGACTATAGGCTGTATGGTGTGACTATAGGCTGTATGGTGTGACTATAGGCTGTATGGTGTGACTATAGGCTGTATGATGTGACTATAGGCTGTATGGTGTGACTATAGGCTGTATGGTGTGACTATAGGCTGTATGGTGTGACTATAGGCTGTATGGTGTGACTATAGGCTGTATGGTGTGACTATAGGCTGTATGATGTGACTATAGGCTGTATGGTGTGACTATAGGCTGTATGATGTGACTATAGGCTGTATGATGTGACTATAGGCTGTATGGTGTGACTATAGGCTGTATGGTGTGACTATAGGCTGAACGGTGTGACTATAGGCTGTACGGTGTGACTATAGGCTGTACGGTGTGACTATAGGCTGTACGGTGTGACTATAGGCTGTACGGTTGGACTATAGGCTGTACGTGTGTGACTATAGGCTGTACGGTGTGACTATAGGCTGTACGGTGTGACTATAGGCTGTACGGTGTGACTATAGGCTGTACGGTGTGACTATAGGCTGTACGGTGTGACTATAGGCTGTACGGGGTGACTATAGGCTGTATGGTGTGACTATAGGCTGTATGATGTGACTATAGGCTGTATGGTGTGACTATAGGCTGTATGGTGTGACTATAGGCTGTATGGTGATTTGAGAAAGTAGCAAGAAAAGCTTGCTCTCTGTTCCTTGCCTCAGTTCTCTCATCAAGTGATCATATTTTCACCCATCCGACTATCCTCAATTTAACCTAGTCTTTACTACAGTGGGGGAAAAAAGTATTTAGTCAGCCACCAATTGTGCAAGTTCTCCCACTTAAAAAGATGAGAGAGGCCTGTAATTTTCATCATAGGTACAGAAAATCACATTGTAGGATTTTTAATGAATTTATTTGCAAATTATGGTGGAAAATAAGTATTTGGTCACCTACAAACAAGCAAGATTTCTGGCTCTCACAGACCTGTAACTTCTTCTTTAAGAGGCTCCTCTGTCCTCCACTTGTTACCTGTATTAATGGCACCTGTTTGAACTTGTTATCAGTATAAAAGACACCTGTCCACAACCTCAAACAGTCACACTCCAAACTCCACTATGGCCAAGACCAAAGAGCTGTCAAAGGACACCAGAAACAAAATTGTAGACCTGCACCAGGCTGGGAAGACTGAATCTGCAATAGGTAAGCAGCTTGGTTTGAAGAAATCAACTGTGTGAGCAATTATTAGGAAATGGAAGACATACAAGACCACTGATAATCTCACTCGATCTGGGGCTCCACGCAAGATCTCACCCCGTGGGGTCAAAATGATCACAAGATCGGTGAGCAAAAATCCCAGAACCACACGGGGGGGACCTAGTGAATGACCTGCAGAGAGCTGGGACCAAAGTAACAAAGCCTACTATCAGTAACACACTACGCCGCCAGGGACTCAAATCCTGCAGTGCCAGACGTGTCCCCCTGCTTAAGCCAGTACATGTCCAGGCCCGTCTGAAGTTTGCTAGAGTGCATTTGGATGATCCAGAAGAGGATTGGGAGAATGTCATATGGTCAGATGAAACCAAAATATAACTTTTTGGTAAAAACTCAACTCGTCGTGTTTGGAGGACAAAGAATGCGGAGTTGCATCCAAAGAACACCATACCTGCTGTGAAGCATGGGGGTGGAAACATCATGCTTTGGGGCTGTTTTTCTGCAAAGGGACCAGGACGACTGATCCGTGTAAAGGAAAGAATGAATGGGGCCATGTATCGTGAGATTTTGAGTGAAAACCTCCTTCCATCAGCAAGGGCATTGAAGATGAAACGTGGCTGGGTCTTTCAGCATGACAATGATCCCAAACACACCGCCCGGGCAACGAAGGAGTGTCTTCGTAAGAAGCATTTCAAGGTCCTGGAGTGGCCTAGCCAGTCTCCAGATCTCAACCCCATAGAAAATCTTTGGAGGGAGTTGAAAGTCCGTGTTGCCCAGCGACAGCCCCAAAACATCACTGCTCTAGAGGAGATCTGCATGGAGGAATGGGCCAAAATACCAGCAACAGTGTGTGAAAACCTTGTGAAGACTTACAGAAAACGTTTGACCTGTGTCATTGCCAACAAAGGGAAACTTTTATTATTGACCAAATACTTATTTTCCACCATAATTTGCAAATAAATTCATTAAAAATCCTACAATGTGATTTTCTGGATATTTTTTCCTCATTTTGTCTGTCATAGTTGACGTGTACCTATGATGAAAATTACAGGCCTCTCTCATCTTTTTAAGTGGGAGAACTTGCACAATTGGTGGCTGACTAAATACTTTTTCCCCCACTGTATACTGAACAAAACTATAAAACGCAACATATAAAGTGTTGGTCCCATGTTTCATGAGCTGAAATACAAAATCCCAGACATTTTCCATATGCACTAAAAGCTTATTTCTCTCTAATTTTGGCCACAAATTGGTTTACATCCCTGTTAGTGAGCAATCCTCCCTTGCCAAGATAATCCATCCACCTGGCAGGTGTGGCATATCAAGAAGCTGATTTAACAGCATGATCATTACACAGGTACACCTTGTGCTGGGGACAATAAAAGGCCACTAAAATGTGCAGTTTTATCTCAAAACACAATGCCACAGATGCCTCAAGTTTTGAGGGAGTGTGCAATTGGCATGCTGACTGCAGGAATGTCCACCAGAGCTGTTGCCAGAGAATTGAATGTTCATTTCTCTACCATAAGCCGCCTCCAACGTCGTTATAAGGCTAGACCAATTATGTACCAAAGACATCTTAAATCAGTTTTGGTTTGTTTTTCTGTCATGTGTAATATGTGGTAAGGCTATGTATAATGTATAATATAATAACTAAAAATATAATATAATATTTTATAATATTGTATTGTATAATGGCACAATCATAATTTTATGCTTGGGCTCATAAGCCTATGAATATGCATAAACTCTAATATGCATATGGGTGTTTTGAATTAATCATCACCTTAGAAAGCGCTGTCCATTTCATTGTGTTGAGAACTCTTGGTAAATAGTGTGGTGTATGCATTCACTAACTGTAAGTCACTCTGGATAAGTAGCGTCTGCTAAATGACTAAAATGTAAATGTGTACAGCTTATCATGAGGTACTCTACCTCAGGCGAGCAATACCTAGAGACTTCCTTAATATTAGAAGTCGCGCACCAGCTGTTATTGACAAATAGACACACAACTCCGCCCCTCGTCTTCCCAGACGTAGCTGCTCTGTCCTGCCGATGCTCTGAAAACCCAGCCAGCTCTATCTTATCCATGTCGTCGTTCAGCCACGACTCAGTGAAACATAATATAATATATTAAACGTCCCGTTGGTTGGATAGTCTTAAATCGTAGATCGTCCATTTTGTTTTCCAATGATTGCACGTTGCCCAATAGAACGGATGGTAGTGGAGGTTTACTCACTGGCCTATGAATTCTCAAAAGGCAGCCCGAACTCCGGCCCCTTTTTTTGGGGCCCGTTCCTGAGAAAGCAGTATATCCTTCGCAACGGACTCGTTTCGGTCATAAGAGACGGTAGCAGCAACATTATGTACAAAATAAGTTACAAACAACGCAAAAAAATATATAACAAAATAGCACAGTTGGTTAGGAGCCCGTAAAACGGCAGCCATCCCCTCCGGTGCCATTCTGTCAGTACTCTCACCTGTCTGTCAGTAGTCTCACCTGTCTGTCAGTAGTCTCACCTGTCTGTCAGTAGTCTCACCTGTCTGTCAGTACTCTCACCTGTCTGTCAGTAGTCTCACCTGTCTGTCAGTACTCTCACCTGTCTGTCAGTACTCTCACCTGTCTGTCAGTAGTCTCACCTGTCTGTCAGTAGTCTCACCTGTCGGTCAGTAGTCTCACCTGTCTGTCAGTAGTCTCACCTGTCTGTCAGTACTCTCACCTGTCTGTCAGTAGTCTCACCTGTCTGTCAGTACTCTCACCTGTCTGTCAGTACTCTCACCTGTCTGTCAGTAGTCTCACCTGTCTGTCAGTACTCTCACCTGTCTGTCAGTACTCTCACCTGTCTGTCAGTACTCTCACCTGTCTGTCAGTAGTCTCACCTGTCTGTCAGTACTCTCACCTGTCTGTCAGTACTCTCACCTGTCTGTCAGTACTCTCACCTGTCTGTCAGTAGTCTCACCTGTCTGTCAGTAGTCTCACCTGTCGGTCAGTACTCTCACCTGTCTGTCAGTACTCTCACCTGTCTGTCAGTACTCTCACCTGTCTGTCAGTACTCTCACCTGTCTGTCAGTACTCTGCCGGTCAGTACTCTCACCTGTCTGTCAGTAGTCTCACCTGTCTGTCAGTAGTCTCACCTGTCTGTCAGTACTCTCACCTGTCTGTCAGTACTCTCACCTGTCTGTCAGTACTCTCACCTGTCTGTCAGTAGTCTCACCTGTCGGTCAGTACTCTCACCTGTCGGTCAGTACTCTCACCTGTCGGTCAGTACTCTCACCTGTCGGTCAGTACTCTCACCTGTGTGTCAGTACTCTCACCTGTGTGTCAGTAGTCTCACCTGTGTGTCAGTAGTCTCACCTGTGTGTGTGTGTGAGTAGTAGCAGTAATGGGAGGGTCTGGTTCGTGGTAGTCTTGGGGTAGCCCCACCCTCCGCACCCCCGGGTCTAAAACCACCGACCCCCCCTCACTGAGGGTCCCGTCACTGGACCCTCCTGACACCACAGCCTCTAGGCCCAGACCCCCGACCCCCCCACCACCACCCACACCCATCATCTCATAGTCCAATGGCACGTTGTCCAGACATTCTGCATTTAACTGTATAGAGACAGAGAGAAAGAGAGAGGGGCAGAAAGGGGAAGAGGAAGAGGGTGAGAGAGAGCAGAGGAAGGGAAGGAGAGAGCAAAGAACTATTAGAGAGAAACAGTTCAGTTTATGTGGATTCAGCTCAAATATATTCAATCGTGTTGGTGTGAGGGAATCAAGATTGGATGGATTTGGATCAATTCAATTCTGAGGGTGACCAAAAGGAAAAAAAAGCAGTTTTCTGACTGGTATGAGTAAGTGACTCATTGATACCTCTGTAAATGACTCCTGAACAACTCCTGAATGATTCTGAAATGACTCACAGCGATGCCCAGTGCTTTGAGGATGTTCATCTTGCACATTGGGCAGGTCCTGTGGTCCAGCAGCCAGGGGTCCACACAGTTCTTATGGAACAGATGTCTGACAGGATAAAGAAACAAAACAACCATGGATTTATAAAGTGTCTGATATACGTTTATGAGTGCTGAGGTGGGTTTAGCAGCAGGGTAGGATAAAGGATTTACAAAAGGGGTTCAAACATGTTGATAACTGGCGTTCATGTTGATAACTGGCGTTCATGTTGATAACTGGCGTTCATGCCGAGGTTGATAACTGGCGTTCATGTTGATAACTGGCGTTCATGTTGATAACTGGCGTTCATGTCGAGGTTGATAACTGGCGTTCATGTTGATAACTGGCGTTCATGTCGATAACTGGCGTTCATGTCGAGGTTGATAACTGGCGTTCATGCCGAGGTTGATAACTGGCGTTCATGTCGAGGTTGATAACTGGCGTTCATGTTGATAACTGGCGTTCATGTCGATAACTGGCATCCATGTTGAGGTTGATAACTGGCGTTCATGTCGATAACTGGCGTTCATGTTGATAACTGGCGTTCATGTCGAGGTTGATAACCGGCGTTCATGTTGATAACTGGCGTTCATGTCGAGGTTGATAACTGGCGTTGGGGTAGATAACTGGCGTTCATGTCGAGGTTGATAACTGTTGATAACTGGCGTTCATGTTGATAACTGCCGTTCATGTCGAGGTTGATAACTGGCGTCCATGTTAATAACTGGCGTTCATGTTGATAACTGGCGTTCATGCCGAGGTTGATAACTGGCGTTCATGTTGATAACTGGCGTTCATGTTGATAACTGGCGTTCATGTTGAGGTTGATAACTGGCGTTCATGTCGATAACTGGCGTTCATGTTGAGGTTGATAACTGGCGTTCATGTCGAGGTCGATAACTGGCGTTCATGTCGAGGTTGATAACTGGCGTTCATGTTGATAACTGGCATTCATGTTGATAACTGGCATCCATGTTGAGGTTGATAACTGGCGTCCATGTTGATAACTGGCGTTCATGTTGATAACTGGCGTTCATGTTGAGGTTGATAACTGGCGTTCATGTTGATAACTGGCGTTCATGTCGAGGTTGATAACTGGCGTTGAGGTAGATAACTGGCGTTCATGTTGAGGTTGATAACTGGCGTTCATGTTGATAACTGGCGTTCATGTTGATAACTGGCGTTCATGTCGAGGTTGATAACTGGCGTTGAGGTAGATAACTGGCGTTCATGTTGAGGTTGATAACTGGCGTTCATGTTGAGGTTGATAACTGGAGTTCATGTTGAGGTTGATAACTGGTGTTCATGTTGAGGTTGAAAACTGGAGTTCATGTTGAGGTTGATAACTGCCGTTCATGTCGAGGTTGATAAACTGGCGTTCATGTTGAGGTCGATAACTGGCGTTCATGTTGATAACTGCCGTTCATGTCGAGGTTGATAACTGGCGTTCATGTTGATAACTGGCGTTCATGTTGATAACTGGCGTTCATGTTGAGGTTGATAACTGGCGTTCATGTTGATAACTGCCGTTCATGTTGATAACTGGCGTTCATGTCGAGGTTGATAACTGGCGTTGAGGTAGATAACTGGCGTTCATGTTGAGGTTGATAACTGGCGTTCATGTCGAGGTTGATAACTGGCATTGAGGTAGATAACTGGCGTTCATGTCGAGGTTGATAACTGGCGTTCATGTTGATAACTGGCGTTCATGTCGGTTGATAACTGGCGTTGAGGTAGATAACTGGCGTTCATGTTGAGGTTAATAACTGGCGTTCATGTTGAGGTTGATAACTGGAGTTCATGTTGAGGTTGATAACTGGTGTTCATGTTGAGGTTGAAAACTGGAGTTCATGTTGAGGTTGATAACTGGAGTTCATGTTGAGGTTGATAACTGGCGTTCATGTTGAGGTTGATAACTGGCGTTCATGTCGAGGTTGATAACTGGCGTTCATGTCGAGGTTGATAACTGGCATTGAGGTAGATAACTGGCGTTCATGTTGAGGTTGATAACTGGCGTTCATGTTGATAACTGGCGTTCATGTTGATAACTGGCGTTCATGTTGAGGTTGATAACTGGCGTTGAGGTAGATAACTGGCGTTCATGTTGAGGTTGATAACTGGCGTTCATGTTGAAGTTGATAACTGGAGTTCATGTTGAGGTTGATAACTGGCGTTCATGTTGAGGCTGATAACTGGCGTTCATGTCGAGGTTGATAACTGGCGTTCATGTTGATAACTGGCGTTCATGTCGAGGTTGATAACTGGCATTCATGTTGATAACTGGCGTTCATGTTGATAACTGGCGTTCATGTCGAGGTTGATAACTGGCACTGAGGTAGATAACTGACGTTCATGTCGAGGTTGATAACTGGCGTTCATGTTGATAACTGGCGTTCATGTTGATAACTGCCGTTCATGTCGAGGTTGATAACTGGCGTTGAGGTAGATAACTGGCGTTCATGTTGAGGTTGATAACTGGCGTTCATGTTGAGGTTGATAACTGGCGTTCATGTTGAGGTTGATAACTGGCGTTCATGTTGAGGTTGATAACTGGCGTTCATGTTGAGGTTGATAACTGGCGTTGAGGTTGATAACTGGCGTTCATGTTGAGGTTGATAAATGGCGTTGAGGTTGATAAATGGCGTTCATGTTGAGGTCGATAACTGCCGTTCATGTTGAGGTTGATAACTGGCGTTCATGTTGAGGTTGATAACTGGTGTTGAGGTTGATAACTGGCATTCATGTTGAGGTTGATAACTGGCGTTCATGCTGAGGTTGATAACTGCCGTTGAGGTTGATAACTGGCGTTCATGTCGAGGTTGATAACTACCGTTGAGGTTGATAACTGGCGTTCATGTCGACGTTGATAACTGGCGTTGAGGTAGATAACTGGCGTTCATGTCGAGGTTGATAACTGGCGTCCATGTTGATAACTGCTGTTCATGTTGATAACTGGCGTTCATGTCGAGGTTGATAACTGGCGTTCATGTCGATAACCGGCGTTCATGTTGATAACTGGCGTTCATGTTGAGGTTGATAACTGGCGTTCATGTTGAGGTTGATAACTGGAGTTCATGTTGAGGTTGATAACTGGCGTTCATGTTGAGGTTGATAACTGGAGTTCATGTTGAGGTTGATAACTGGCGTTCATGTTGAGGTTGATAACTGGCGTTGAGGTTGATAACTGGCGTTCATGTTGAGGTTGATAACTGGTTTTGAGGTTGATAACTGGCGTTCATGTCGAGGTTGATAACTGGCGTTGAGGTTGATAACTGGCGTTCATGTTGAGGTTGATAACTGGTGTTGAGGTTGATAACTGGCATTCATGTTGAGGTTGATAACTGGCGTTCATGTCAAGGTTGATAACTGCCGTTGAGGTTGATAACTGGCGTTCATGTCGAGGTTGATAACTGGCGTTGAGGTTGATAAAGGGCGTTCATGTTGAGGTTGATAACCGGCGTTCATGTTGATAACTGGCGTTCATGTCGAGGTTGATAACTGGCGTTGGGGTAGATAACTGGCGTTCATGTCGAGGTTGATAACTGTTGATAACTGGCGTTCATGTTGATAACTGCCGTTCATGTCGAGGTTGATAACTGGCGTCCATGTTAATAACTGGCGTTCATGTTGATAACTGGCGTTCATGCCGAGGTTGATAACTGGCGTTCATGTTGATAACTGGCGTTCATGTTGATAACTGGCGTTCATGTTGAGGTTGATAACTGGCGTTCATGTTGATAACTGGCGTTCATGTTGAGGTTGATAACTGGCGTTCATGTCGAGGTCGATAACTGGCGTTCATGTCGAGGTTGATAACTGGCGTTCATGTTGATAACTGGCATTCATGTTGATAACTGGCATCCATGTTGAGGTTGATAACTGGCGTCCATGTTGATAACTGGCGTTCATGTTGATAACTGGCGTTCATGTTGAGGTTGATAACTGGCGTTCATGTTGATAACTGGCGTTCATGTCGAGGTTGATAACTGGCGTTGAGGTAGATAACTGGCGTTCATGTTGAGGTTGATAACTGGCGTTCATGTTGATAACTGGCGTTCATGTTGATAACTGGCGTTCATGTCGAGGTTGATAACTGGCGTTGAGGTAGATAACTGGCGTTCATGTTGAGGTTGATAACTGGCGTTCATGTTGAGGTTGATAACTGGAGTTCATGTTGAGGTTGATAACTGGTGTTCATGTTGAGGTTGAAAACTGGAGTTCATGTTGAGGTTGATAACTGCCGTTCATGTCGAGGTTGATAACTGGCGTTCATGTTGAGGTCGATAACTGGCATTCATGTTGATAACTGCCGTTCATGTCGAGGTTGATAACTGGCGTTCATGTTGATAACTGGCGTTCATGTTGATAACTGGCGTTCATGTTGAGGTTGATAACTGGCGTTCATGTTGATAACTGCCGTTCATGTTGATAACTGGCGTTCATGTCGAGGTTGATAACTGGCGTTGAGGTAGATAACTGGCGTTCATGTTGAGGTTGATAACTGGCGTTCATGTCGAGGTTGATAACTGGCATTGAGGTAGATAACTGGCGTTCATGTCGAGGTTGATAACTGGCGTTCATGTTGATAACTGGCGTTCATGTCGGTTGATAACTGGCGTTGAGGTAGATAACTGGCGTTCATGTTGAGGTTAATAACTGGCGTTCATGTTGAGGTTGATAACTGGAGTTCATGTTGAGGTTGATAACTGGTGTTCATGTTGAGGTTGAAAACTGGAGTTCATGTTGAGGTTGATAACTGGAGTTCATGTTGAGGTTGATAACTGGCGTTCATGTTGAGGTTGATAACTGGCGTTCATGTCGAGGTTGATAACTGGCGTTCATGTCGAGGTTGATAACTGGCATTGAGGTAGATAACTGGCGTTCATGTTGAGGTTGATAACTGGCGTTCATGTTGATAACTGGCGTTCATGTTGATAACTGGCGTTCATGTTGAGGTTGATAACTGGCGTTGAGGTAGATAACTGGCGTTCATGTTGAGGTTGATAACTGGCGTTCATGTTGAAGTTGATAACTGGAGTTCATGTTGAGGTTGATAACTGGCGTTCATGTTGAGGCTGATAACTGGCGTTCATGTCGAGGTTGATAACTGGCGTTCATGTTGATAACTGGCGTTCATGTCGAGGTTGATAACTGGCATTCATGTTGATAACTGGCGTTCATGTTGATAACTGGCGTTCATGTCGAGGTTGATAACTGGCACTGAGGTAGATAACTGGCGTTCATGTCGAGGTTGATAACTGGCGTTCATGTTGATAACTGGCGTTCATGTTGATAACTGCCGTTCATGTCGAGGTTGATAACTGGCGTTGAGGTAGATAACTGGCGTTCATGTTGAGGTTGATAACTGGCGTTCATGTTGAGGTTGATAACTGGCGTTCATGTTGAGGTTGATAACTGGCGTTCATGTTGAGGTTGATAACTGGCGTTCATGTTGAGGTTGATAACTGGCGTTGAGGTTGATAACTGGCGTTCATGTTGAGGTTGATAAATGGCGTTGAGGTTGATAAATGGCGTTCATGTTGAGGTCGATAACTGCCGTTCATGTTGAGGTTGATAACTGGCGTTCATGTTGAGGTTGATAACTGGTGTTGAGGTTGATAACTGGCATTCATGTTGAGGTTGATAACTGGCGTTCATGCTGAGGTTGATAACTGCCGTTGAGGTTGATAACTGGCGTTCATGTCGAGGTTGATAACTACCGTTGAGGTTGATAACTGGCGTTCATGTCGACGTTGATAACTGGCGTTGAGGTAGATAACTGGCGTTCATGTCGAGGTTGATAACTGGCGTCCATGTTGATAACTGCTGTTCATGTTGATAACTGGCGTTCATGTCGAGGTTGATAACTGGCGTTCATGTCGATAACTGGCGTTCATGTTGATAACTGGCGTTCATGTTGAGGTTGATAACTGGCGTTCATGTTGAGGTTGATAACTGGAGTTCATGTTGAGGTTGATAACTGGCGTTCATGTTGAGGTTGATAACTGGAGTTCATGTTGAGGTTGATAACTGGCGTTCATGTTGAGGTTGATAACTGGCGTTGAGGTTGATAACTGGCGTTCATGTTGAGGTTGATAACTGGTTTTGAGGTTGATAACTGGCGTTCATGTCGAGGTTGATAACTGGCGTTGAGGTTGATAACTGGCGTTCATGTTGAGGTTGATAACTGGTGTTGAGGTTGATAACTGGCATTCATGTTGAGGTTGATAACTGGCGTTCATGTCAAGGTTGATAACTGCCGTTGAGGTTGATAACTGGCGTTCATGTCGAGGTTGATAACTGGCGTTGAGGTTGATAAAGGGCGTTCATGTTGAGGTTGATAACTGGTGTTGAGGTTGATAACTGGCATTCATGTTGAGGTTGATAACTGGCATTCATGTTGAGGTTGATAACTGACGTTCATGTTGAGGTTGATGACTGCCGTTGAGGTTGATAACTGGCGTTCATGTCGAGGTTGATAACTGGCATTCATGTTGAGGTTGATAACTGCTGTTAATGTTGAGGTTGATAACTGGCGTTCATGTCGAGGTTGATAACTAGCGTTGAGGATGATAACTGGCGTTCATGTTGAGGTTGGTAACTGGCGTTGAGGTTGATAACTGGCGTTCATGTTGAGGTTGATAACTGGCGTTAATGTTGAGGTTGATAACTGCCATTCATGTCGAGGTTGATAACTGCCGTTCATGTCGAGGTTGATAACTGGCGTTCATGTTGAGGTTGATAACTGGCGTTCATGTCGAGGTTGATAACTGGCGTTCATGTCGAGGTTGATAACTGCCGTTCATGTTGAGGTTGATAACTGCCGTTCATGTCGAGGTTGATAACTGCCGTTCATGTTGAGGTTGATAACTGCCGTTCATGTTGAGGTTGATAACTGGCGTTGAGGTTGATAACTGGCGTTCATGTTGAGGTTGATAACTGCCGTTCATGTCGAGGTTGATAACTGCCGTTCATGTTGAGGTTAATAACTGGCGTTCATGTCGAGGTTGATAACTGGCATTGAGGTTGATAACTGGCGTTCATGTTGAGGTTGATAACTGGCGTTCATGTTGAGGTTGATAACTGCCGTTCATGTCGAGGTTGATAACTGCCATTCATGTCGAGGTTGATAACTGGCGTTCATGTTGAGGTTGATAACTGGCGTTCATGTCGAGGTTGATAACTGCCGTTCATGTTGAGGTTAATAACTGGCGTTCATGTCGAGGTTGATAACTGGCATTGAGGTTGATAACTGGCGTTCATGTTGAGGTTGATAACTGGCGTTCATGTTGAGGTTGATAACTGCCGTTCATGTCGAGGTTGATAACTGCCGTTCATGTCGAGGTTGATAACTGGCGTTCATGTCGAGGTTGATAACTGGCGTTCATGTTGAGGTTGATAACTGGCGTTCATGTTGAGGTTGATAACTGGTGTTAATGTTGAGGTTGATAACTGGAGTTCATGTCGAGGCTGATTACTGGCGTTCATGTCGAGGCTGATTACTGGCGTTCATGTCGAGGTTGATAACTGGCATTCATATTGAGGTTGATAACTGGCATTGAGGTTGATAACTGGCATTGAGGTTGATAACTGGCGTTCATGTTGAGGTTGATAACTGGTGTTCATGTCGAGGTTGATAACTGGTGTTAATGTTGAGGTTGATAACTGGCGTTCATGTCGAGGTTGATTACTGGCGTTCATGTCGAGGCTGATTACTGGCGTTCATGTCGAGGTTGATAACTGGCATTCATATTGAGGTTGATAACTGGCATTGAGGTTGATAACTGGCATTGAGGTTGATAACTGGCATTGAGTTTGATAACTGGCGTTCATGTTGAGGTTGATAACTGGTGTTCATGTCGAGGTTGATAACTGGTGTTAATGTTGAGGTTGATAACTGGCGTTCATGTCGAGGTTGATAACTGCCGTTGAGGTTGAAAACTGGCGTTCATGTTGAGGTTGATAACTGGCATTCATGTTAAGGTTAATAACTGGCGTTCATGTCGAGGTTGATAACTGCCGTTCATGTCAAGGTTGATAACTGGCGTTGAGGTTGATAACTGGCGTTCATGTTGAGGTTGATAACTGGCATTCATGTCGAGGTTGATAACTGCGGTTCATGTCGAGGTTGATAACTGCTGTTCATGTCGAGGTTGATAACTGCTGTTCATGTCGAGGTTGATAACTGGCGTTGAGGTTGATAACTGGCATTGAGGTTGATAACTGGCATTGAGTTTGATAACTGGCGTTCATGTCGAGGTTGATTACTGGCGTTCATGTCGAGGCTGATTACTGGCGTTCATGTCGAGGTTGATAACTGGCATTCATATTGAGGTTGATAACTGGCATTGAGGTTGATAACTGGCATTGAGGTTGATAACTGGCATTGAGTTTGATAACTGGCGTTCATGTTGAGGTTGATAACTGGTGTTCATGTCGAGGTTGATAACTGGTGTTAATGTTGAGGTTGATAACTGGCGTTCATGTCGAGGTTGATAACTGCCGTTGAGGTTGAAAACTGGCGTTCATGTTGAGGTTGATAACTGGCATTCATGTTAAGGTTAATAACTGGCGTTCATGTCGAGGTTGATAACTGCCGTTCATGTCAAGGTTGATAACTGGCGTTGAGGTTGATAACTGGCGTTCATGTTGAGGTTGATAACTGGCATTCATGTTAAGGTTAATAACTGGCGTTCATGTCGAGGTTGATAACTGCCGTTCATGTCAAGGTTGATAACTGGCGTTGAGGTTGATAACTGGCGTTCATGTTGAGGTTAATAACTGGCATTCATGTCGAGGTTGATAACTGCGGTTCATGTCGAGGTTGATAACTGCTGTTCATGTCGAGGTTGATAACTGCTGTTCATGTCGAGGTTGATAACTGGCGTTGAGGTTGAGGTTGATAACTGGCGTTGAGGTTGATAACTGGTGTTCATGTGGAGGTAGATAACTGGTGTTAATGTTGAGGTAGATAACTGGTGTTAATGTTGAGGTTGATAACTGGCGTTAATGTTGAGGTTGATAACTGGCATTCATGTTTGTTTACCTGCAGGGTAGTATCCTGACCACATCATTTGGCTTGTAGCCCTCGATACACACGGCACAGTTATCAAAGTCTGTCTCTGTCTCCCGGTCTCCTTTCCTGATGGTCCTGACCTGCAGTTTACTGATGGCCTTCTTAGCTGCATCTCCTAGACGCCTCTGAGTGGGGGGAGAGAGAGGGAGAGAGAGAGAGAGGGAGAGAGAGAGAGAGAGAGAGAGAGAGGAGAGAGAGAGAGAGAGAGAGAGAGAGAGAGTAGAGGGAGGGAGAGGAGGGAGAGAGACAGAGAGAGAGAGAGAGAGATAGAAGACTAGGGGTTAGCCCTCAGAAATCAATAAACAAAACAGTCAAATATATGCAGTCTGCAACAACTTTGTTGTAGTCTGGTGTGTTACTGAACCCTACCTGGTTACGGTCTCGTGCGTTGGCGTATCTAAACCTCTGTATGTAGTAGAAGACTAGCCAGGCCAGAGAGATGATCATCAGGATGATGAAGGAGATGGAGACGAACACCACCGAGGTCCTGCTCACGTACTTCTGGAGGTTACGCGTTCCTATGGTGATGTGCATGGTTACCGTGACGTTCTGCTCAAGCAGAGCAGCAACCTCGCAACCTTTAGGTTCTGGGATCATGATGGCGACCACGTCACCCATACCTGACAGGAGAGAGGGGGGGAGGGGAGGGAGAGAAAGGGAGAGCGAGTGAATGAGAATGTTTACAATATAGCTAATTTAGACTTTGCAGCTGGCCCATCTAGCGGAAATCACTCAGTTCTGCCTCCAGGACAAGGCTCATGCCAATAAAGGTCAACCTGCGAGATACAAAATCAATCACATTTTATTTGTCACGTTAACAGGTATAGACTAACAGTGAAATGCTTCCGGGCCCTTCCCAACAACACAGAGAAAGAAAATACAGAAATAATAGAAAAGTTAAACGCGTAATAACAAAAGTAATAATAGATACACAATGAGTAACGATAACTTGGCTATACACTGAGCATACAAAACATTAGGAACACCTTCCTAATATTGAGTTGCACCCCCTTTTGCCATCAGAAAATCCTCGATTCATCGGGGCATGGACTCTACAAGGTGTCGAAAGCATTCCACAGGGATGCTGGCCCATGTTGACTCCAATGTTTTTCACAGTGCGTCAAGTTGGCTGGATGTCCTTTGGGTGGTGGACCATTCTTGATACACACGGGAAACTGTTGAGTGTGAAAAACCCAGCAGCTTTGCAGTTCTTGACACACTCAAACCGGTGCGCCGGGCACCTACTACCATACCCCGTTCAAAGGCACTTAAATATTTTGTCTTTCCCATAGAGTCCCACAGTGGAGGTGTCATAATACCCATAAAACCTAACGGTCAAACAGGGAAATGGTTCCAGTCGTTTTTCAACCATTCATTTTCCCCATAGGGGATTTTCGAAACACACAGGGCTATGTTTCGTGGAGGCTTACCCTGGCGTGATGTTTTGATAACCATGTAAATCTCTATGACAAAGTGACTTTTATCAATATATTTGCCTGTATTTATCCCCTATGGGAAAAATGAATGGTGGAAAAACGATTGGAACCATTTCCTTGTTTGACCGCTAGGTTTTATGGGTATTATGACTCATACTGTGGTACTCTATTCACCCTCTGAATGACACACATAAACAATCCATGTCTCAATTCTCAAGGCTTAGAAATCCTTCTTTAACCCGTCTCATCCCCTTCATCTACACTGATTGAAGTGGATTTAACAAGTGACATCAATAAGGGATCATAGCTTTCACCTGGATTCACCTGGTCAGTGTGTGTCATGGACTCCGTGTACACAAGAGTACCTGTACCTAGTGGATGTGCAGGGGTGCGAGGTAATTGAGGTAGATATGTACATATAGGTAGGGGTAAAGTGACTAGACAACAGGATAGATAATAGACAGTAGCAGCAGTATACTGTAGGGAGGGGTAAAGTGACTAGACAACAGGATAGATAATAGACAGTAGCAGCAGTATACTGTAGGTAGGGGTAAAGTGACTAGACAACAGGATAGATAATAGACAGTAGCAGCAGTATACTGTAGGTAGGGGTAAAGTGACTAGACAACAGGATAGATAATAGACAGTAGCAGCAGTATACTGTAGGTAGGGGTAAAGTGACTAGACAACAGGATAGATAATAGACAGTAGCAGCAGTATACTGTAGGTAGGGGTAAAGTGACTAGACAACAGGATAGATAATAGACAGTAGCAGCAGTATACTGTAGGTAGGGGTAAAGTGACTAGGCAACAGGATAGATAATAGACAGTAGCAGCAGTATACTGTAGGTAGGGGTAAAGTGACTAGACAACAGGATAGATAATAGACAGTAGCAGCAGTATACTGTAGGTAGGGGTAAAGTGACTAGACAACAGGATAGATAATAGACAGTAGCAGCAGTATACTGTAGGTAGGGGTAAAGGGACTAGACAACAGGATAGATAATAGACAGTAGCAGCAGTATACTGTAGGTAGGGGTAAAGTGACTAGGCAACAGGATAGATAATAGACAGTAGCAGCAGTATACTGTAGGTAGGGGTAAAGGGACTAGACAACAGGATAGATAATAGACAGTAGCAGCAGTATACTGTAGGTAGGGGTAAAGGGACTAGACAACAGGATAGATAATAGACAGTAGCAGCAGTATACTGTAGGTAGGGGTAAAGTGACTAGGCAACAGGATAGATAATAGACAGTAGCAGCAGTATACTGTAGGTAGGGGTAAAGGGACTAGACAACAGGATAGATAATAGACAGTAGCAGCAGTATACTGTAGGTAGGGGTAAAGGGACTAGACAACAGGATAGATAATAGACAGTAGCAGCAGTATACTGTAGGTAGGGGTTAAAGTGACTAGACAACAGGATAGATAATAGACAGTAGCAGCAGTATACTGTAGGTAGGGGTAAAGGGACTAGACAACAGGATAGATAATAGACAGTAGCAGCAGTATACTGTAGGTAGGGGTAAAGTGACTAGACAACAGGATAGATAATAGACAGTAGCAGCAGTATACTGTAGGTAGGGGTAAAGTGACTAGACAACAGGATAGATAATAGACAGTAGCAGCAGTATACTGTAGGTAGGGGTAAAGGGACTAGACAACAGGATAGATAATAGACAGTAGCAGCAGTATACTGTAGGTAGGGGTAAAGTGACTAGACAACAGGATAGATAATAGACAGTAGCAGCAGTATACTGTAGGTAGGGGTAAAGTGACTAGACAACAGGATAGATAATAGACAGTAGCAGCAGTATACTGTAGGTAGGGGTAAAGGGACTAGACAACAGGATAGATAATAGACAGTAGCAGCAGTATACTGTAGGTAGGGGTAAAGTGACTAGGCAACAGGATAGATAATAGACAGTAGCAGCAGTATACTGTAGATAGGGGTAAAGTGACTAGACAACATGATAGATAATAGACAGTAGCAGCAGTATACTGTAGGTAGGGGTAAAGTGACTAGACAACAGGATAGATAATAGACAGTAGCAGCAGTATACTGTAGGTAGGGGTAAAGTGACTAGACAACAGGATAGATAATAGACAGTAGCAGCAGTATACTGTAGGTAGGGGTAAAGTGACTAGACAACAGGATAGATAATAGACAGTAGCAGCAGTATACTGTAGGTAGGGGTAAAGTGACTAGACAACAGGATGGATAATAGACAGTAGCAGCAGTATACTGTAGGTAGGGGTAAAGTGACTAGACAACAGGATAGATAATAGACAGTAGCAGCAGTATACTGTAGGTAGGGGTAAAGGGACTAGACAACAGGATAGATAATAGACAGTAGCAGCAGTATACTGTAGGTAGGGGTAAAGGGACTAGACAACAGGATAGATAATAGACAGTAGCAGCAGTATACTGTAGGTAGGGGTAAAGTGACTAGACAACAGGATAGATAATAGACAGTAGCAGCAGTATACTGTAGGTAGGGGTAAAGTGACTAGACAACAGGATAGATAATAGACAGTAGCAGCAGTATACTGTAGGTAGGGGTAAAGTGACTAGACAACAGGATAGATAATAGACAGTAGCAGCAGTATACTGTAGGTAGGGGTAAAGGGACTAGACAACAGGATAGATAATAGACAGTAGCAGCAGTATACTGTAGGTAGGGGTAAAGGGACTAGACAACAGGATAGATAATAGACAGTAGCAGCAGTATACTGTAGGTAGGGGTAAAGTGACTAGACAACAGGATAGATAATAGACAGTAGCAGCAGTATACTGTAGGTAGGGGTAAAGTGACTAGACAACAGGATAGATAATAGACAGTAGCAGCAGTATACTGTAGGTAGGGGGTAAAGTGACTAGACAACAGGATAGATAATAGACAGTAGCAGCAGTATACTGTAGGTAGGGGTAAAGTGACTAGGCAACAGGATAGATAATAGACAGTAGCAGCAGTATACTGTAGGTAGGGGTAAAGTGACTAGACAACAGGATAGATAATAGACAGTAGCAGCAGTATACTGTAGGTAGGGATAAAGTGACTAGACAACAGGATAGATAATAGACAGTAGCAGCAGTATACTGTAGGTAGGGGTAAAGTGACTAGACAACAGGATAGATAATAGACAGTAGCAGCAGTATACTGTAGGTAGGGGTAAAGTGACTAGACAACAGGATAGATAATAGACAGTAGCAGCAGTATACTGTAGGTAGGGGTAAAGGGACTAGGCAACAGGATAGATAATAAACAGTAACAGCAGCGTATGTGATGAGTTAAAAGAGTTAGTGCAAAAAGGGTTACTGCAGATAGTTAAATAGTTACCGGACTAACTATTTAGCAGTCGTATGGCTGTTCAGGGTCCTGTTGGTTCCAGACTTAATGCATTTGTACCGCTTGCCGTGCGGTAGCAGAGAAAACAGTCTATGACTTGGGTGGATGGAGTCTTTGAAAAATGTTTTGGGCCTTCCTCTGACACCGCCTAGTACATAGGTCCTGGATGGCAGGGAGCTCGGCCCAAGTGATGTACTGGGCCGTACGCACTACCCTCTGTAGCGCCTTGCGGTCGGATGCCAAGCAGTTGCCATACCAAGCGGTGATGCAGCCAGTCAAGATGCTCTCGATGGTGCAGCTGGATAACTTTTAAAAGGAACTGAAGGCGCATGTCGAAACAGAAAATGAAACAAATAAACAGACCGGGTGTGTGTATGTGAGACAAAGAGACTTCACCAGGCACCCTGCTCAGGAGAACAAGCCTTGTGACTGTAGGGCCCAGACTCGTCTCCTGTGGCAGAATTTAGAACCTCCACGTAGATTCTAAGAACAATGGGAGTGTAAACAGAACGTTGATCTCCTGAGTGTTCCATTCTAACAGTCACTGTAACTATGATGACAGGGCTGGGGAGTGGGATGGGGCCTTTGTGAAATTCCTAATTCCACTACGGAACGTCAGGAATGCTGTGGGGAATGTTCCAGGTGCATCCCTGTGGCACAGACTCTTCCCAACACTTATTATAACCACACACACTAGGTCTGATTCTAGTCTCGACCCCTCACTAAAACACATCCAAGTACTATAGCACTCTGATAATAGGTCTGTTTCTAGTCTCGACCCCTCACTAAAACACATCCAAGTACTATAG